ATACAAACAAACACAAAAAGATACAGTCAAACCCAGCTTCAAGGGAAGTGACAGGCTAGGACAGAGGTGGCTGTCTGTCATGTCAACACATCTGTCCCATCATGGAACTCCTGAGTCATCCCCCACAGCCCTCCCAAGCAGAACATTTTTTAAAAAAAGAAGCATAGATGTTTTTCTTTTCAAACAAGGCATGGGAAATCAAGGAACTAAAAAGCTGGCCCAGTCAAGCCTGAGGAAACATAAGGTAGGGAAGAAAAAAAGTATAGGAGTCAATGAGGCTCTAAGACTCAAGCTGAGTCCAAGGGAAAACAGGAGTTCTCCCATGGATGGGGGAGATATGGTTGTGGCTAATGTAACTGTAGAGACATCATAACTGTCCTGGGCTTGTGCATTCATCCTCAGACATTTGGGTTTCTGACCAAGGTTCAGATTTTTATTGACATTCTTGGTCCAGGTTGTACTGAGATCGGTCCACACCTATTACAGAGGGTGGATTTCGTATAGCTAATGGAGGGAACACTAGCCATCATGGGAGAAACCAAACAAGTCTTGTGCACAAACCTTTAGACAATGTCAGCGTAGAGATGAAGTCCTAGGCCTCCTTCCTTGGATGGGTCAGAAGATTGGGTTTTACTGAATCACTAATCTTCCTTTCCAAGAAGGAATTACTGAAGAAAAAGGCCAGCTATATTCAAGAGCATGTAGACTGGAGAGCTAAAGGAAAAAAGAAATACCTGGGAGCAGAGACACCAAATACTATGTGATGTGATAAGGCAGTTGTATAGGTCACAGCCCAGGCTGCGATAAGGATGCTGGGATAGAACCTGAGGTCTTGGGTTCATCTTAGAGAAGGTGGATGATTTTCTAATTCACATACATCAGACTGTAACTTTGCTCTCTAGGGGAATTTACAAGTCTTATACAGGATGGCACAGTCTAGCATCTTCTTTGCAAGGTGCTTTCCAACTACTTAATTCCTGGATCTATCAGTTTTCACTGTTTCTTCTCCATCTGATCTTAAGACTGGAAAAGCAGCAAAGAAACCCCTAAAGGAACTAATACAGAATACCAGACAGGATGTGAGAAGACATGGGAGACAGTCAAGGAACAAGAAAACACAGATGTATCTGTGTGTGTGTGTGTGTGTGTGTGTGTGTGTGTGTGTGTGTGAGAGAGAGAGAGAGAGAGAGAGAGAGAGAGAGAGAGAGAG